GAGCACGGCCTTAAACTTTAACAATAGCAGTTGGCGCGTGTGTCTCGCCGTACGGAGGAAAACCTCAAAAGTATTTCAAACGGGCCAACAGAACGTGGCCAGAGCTTCGAGCACACTATTTGTACTTAAAACAGATCCATATATTGTTGTTGTTGTGTGTGTGAGCGTGTGTGTGTGAGTGTTCCAGCGTTTATAGTGCTTACAGTTAGATAGATAAACATTTTAGCCAAAAGAGTTGCAGCAGCAGGCGAACGTCTGTAAGGAACAAAGATTGGAATTGTAGCTGGGGTAAGGGGGCTGGGGGCAGGAGCTGGGTGGCTGCCACATTGTGTGTGACTCGCTGCGGATGCATAATATGCCAGGGAAAAGAAAGAAAATAGCGCCACTGCCGGGCAGAGCAATGCAGCATATGCTCCAATATGCAGCAGCAGCAGCACGAGCAGGAACGTAGTCAAGGGGGATCCGCTTGCGATGATAGACATAGCTCATTATATATCGTATTAGCGTAAGTTCATGTTAAAGAGAGCATTCGAACCCACCCGATCCCTTTTCGCTGGCGCCACTGTGCGCAACGCACAACTAACTATTATCACAAGATAAATGCCAGTGCCTCGCATAACTAAGACTTAGCCAGAGACAACGAGGATGCTGCAGCTGCAGCTGCTGCGGAACATAACTGCTAAGCCGACAGACAGCCAGACAGCCAGAGAGACAGGGAGCCAGAGAACCAGGCAGGATAAGGCCATGTTTGAACAGAAAGGAGGAAAAACTGGCAGGAGGAAAAACTAGCAGCAAAAGGGGGGCAGCAGCAGGAGCAGCAACCTGCATTGATAGTGGCATCTGCTGCACGCTGAAGCCTTTTCGCCAAGCTGAGCGAGGCGAAGCCATAACGCCGCCTTGGCATTTTAATAGAGCAAATTTCAGTGAGCAAAAATGCGTGGAGAGTGCAGAGTGGAGAGCTCTACCAGCTACTGCTAGCCCATCAAGGCCCGCCCCTTGCCTGGTAATAAAACTTCCAAATGAAGTTTGGGAAACTTTTTAAATGCCTCGCCAAGGCGTGCCATATGCCGGCAAAGCTTTGCGGGAGTAAGAATTAATTTTTAGCCAAAGCAAACATTGTAGAGAAAACAAAATATATGTATGTATGTGTGTATGTGTGTATGTGTAGGAGACACAGCAGCCACTGCAACAGTTTTAATATAAACCGAAACGTTTTAAGCCACAAATTCTGATGCCAAAATGATTCGCTTCGAGTGGAGCAGCCCGAGCAGCCCGAGCAGCTGCTACTGGCCCCGACTAGAGCAGAAATTATTTATTTAACTTATTAACAAAAACTCAATTCAGCTGGTAAGCCGAGCCACAGACCGAATTTCTGAGAATCTATTGCAGAGCAGCGAAACAGAATTTACTATGAAATTTTCAACTTGTCTGTCTGTCTGTCTGACTGCCGGGCGATTTTTAATGGCGTTTGCTAAGTATTTCGATGAGGCGGAATGGGCGTGGCTCTACGCACTTGTTATGCGGCAAACAAGAAAGCCGTAGGAGGCACCAAAATGATGATGATGACGCCTACAACGTGGCACACGCCCACAAAAGAACGCCCCCACACCCACACCCACACCCACACAACCACACACCCACACAAACGGCCGGGCGCAGCATCTTCAGTTTCATCCGAATGCTAAATGGCCCCAAAGGACCTTGCGCGCAGTATAAGGACGCAGCTCGGCCAGCTTTTTGCAAATTTACGATTATGATTATTACAAGTCAACGTTTTTTTCTTCAGCTTCAGCTTCGCTGAGGGTTGGCCAACAGAGCGTGTGTGTGTGTGTGTGTGTAGGTGGGTGGTTGGCTTGTGCTTGTGTGTAGGTGTGTATTCACAGTTTGGCATTTGGACAGCTGCTCCGGGAAAGAAGTGCAAAGAATGCGTCAAAGTATTTTAGCACTTTAGCAGTGTGGGGCGCTTCGAGGGCCAGGGGAGGGTGGTTCGCAGAATCCACAGGGCTAACAAAATGTACAACAAAACTTGGGCAAAAGTTATTACAACTCTAGGCACTGATGGAGGCGGGGTATGCGCTATGTCTTACCGCATCTTGGCGGTAAGAGGCATTGACCTCCAGCAGGAGCAGAAGCAGCATCAGCAGGAGCTTGTAGCCCTTGGAAATCCGCAAATTCCATGGGGCATAATAAACGTAAGATAAAAGTCAAAAAGGGACAAAAATTATATAATAAACTGTACGCCAAGTGAAATTATTGTATTTTGTTTCATGCAGACAGACAGACAAAGAGTGAGACAGAGAGAGAGTGAGAGGGAGAGGGGGAGCTGGAGTTGTTCTTCAATTTGATGTAACTACAATAAAAATTTTGATGAGCTGCAGTTGCTGTGTCGACGGCTTATAAATTTAATACCCTTCCAGAAGGATAATAAGACTTGAGCTTTAAATATGACGGAAAATATCAAATTGAATAACATAATAAACGAAATGAGATTTAAGCAAAGTAATTAGATTTAAGCAAAGCTGAGACTAGTTAAAGAGTTTTCTTTTTTCCTCTTTCTCTTAATATATCAAAATGCCTCTGCTTCTCAAGCTGTTGCTCTAGTTCTAACTCTTCTTCTGTAACTCTCCTGCCGCGGCTCATATTTCAAAAGAGCAACTCCGACGGGCTGGCTGGCTGTGTAGGGTATTCAATAACTGTCATGCTTTAGTCAAATGCTTAAACCAAAAACTTTGTTATGCGAGACATTTTACATTTTGATATCGTGCTGCCACTCGCACAACAACAACAACAACAAAAGTTTTTTGGTGGCCCGGGCCAGGGGCTGGGCTTTGGACACACCTACACACACACACTCACACACACACTCACACACACACTTACACGCGCACACACATAAATAAAAGGTATAACAATAACTCAGCCAAGCTGCAGAGCGCGTTGCTCTTGCTTATCAAGTTGGGCGCATCGAATGCTGTACAACAGAAAGAACAACAACAACAACAACAACAATAATAACAAGAGAATGTGTGTATACAATAAGGAAGAAGAAGAAGCAGATGATGAAAAAATACCAAAACAGTAAAATACCAAATCATAAAAGCATGACGATGAGCAATTTACAAAAGCCAAATACTGCCGCAGAATGAGATTCAAATCAAGAATCAAGAACGTGCGCCAGTTGAGAACCTTCAGCCTTTGCCTCGATTTAGGTAACTACAGTTGATATAGTCGGTAAATATATATGTACATATATATGTGCACCTATATGTATATTTGAGGTGCGTTTGTAAAAACAACAACTTAATGATTAATGATGCGCCTGCTTTTGTTCGCTTAGGCCGCATTTCTCCCTCTCTCTCTCTCTCTCTCTCTCTTCAGTTTCAATTGAGAATTAAGAATTGAGAATTTGAGAAATCGAGAATTGAATTTGTTTGGGGTTTCTCCCTTTCAACTTGAGCTTTGATTGCTCGCGCACTTGTGTTTGGGTTCCCTAATTTTCCAGCCGCTTTCTAAGCGTAATCACTTTGTCATTGCCATCATTTTTCAGCATCAATTGTTGCAGCCGGGCCACATAAATTCACTTTTCACAGAGACACCCAGGCACACAGACACATGGACTGTCTAATGGAATTGAGAGATAGAGACAGAGAGACGGACAGATAGTTGGGACAGACCGTAAGCCCAGCCAAGTTGTCTGCATTTGCCCTTTTGGGCGCATCGCCCTGTCAGACTGAATTGTCCAAGTCCAAGTGCAACATATGGACATATAACGAGTCGATAGGTCTCGTCTCGGCTCGTCTCTTGTCTCAGTTGTCTGTTGTCTCTTGTGTCTTGTGTCTCTTTCTAGTTTTGAAGTGGACTTCCCTGGAATTGGCTTTGAAATGCCACAGTCAAAGCTGCGCCAGCCCAGTCGAGTCAGACAGTGAGACAGTGAAACAGTCAGCCAGTCAGCGAGTCAGCCTTTCATCTGCCGCCAAGCAGATACAACAGATGCAGCCCCACAGCATCTGCCAAACTGAAACATAGAACAAAAGATCAAAGCTGAGAGCTGAGCGAACTCGCTTTCGTCTCTCTAACAAGCCCCAACTGATGCTCGTTTGCTTATTGCTGTGCATAATCGCAAATGTTACGCTAAATGCATTGCATCGATCCGTGATCCATCTCCGAGCCCTAATGGGAGCGTGCAACGAATTGTGGTAGGCAAATGTCTAGCTGCAACTTAGCGCCTAGTTATGAAGGCAGCCTGCCCCGCTGCCTCACTGCCTGGCTGCCTGGCTGCCTGCCTGCCTCTGACAGCGAATTGATTGAGATACAACAGTAATGCCCTCTCCCTCACACTTGCCCTTCCTCTCTCACTCACTCACTCACTCAATGTACTCTTTGTACGCCTTGGCATCCTGTGGCGAGCTTGATGGAAACTCTTTAAAAAGAAATTAAGCCAGGAATATAAATGAAGATGAAGATGTTTAAATCGAGAAGGGGCGTGGCATAATAAGGGCTAATAATATTGAGCCTTGAGTTTTTTGAGGATGTTAATTAACTTTGAGTCATGAATTATATGATATGAATTATATAATTAGGATAGAGGCTTTATGTGGAAATGAAGTAACTTTTACCTATATATAATTATAGATAATATAAATCTTGATCCAAATATAAGTACTGAAAATTCTACAAGTGAATATTACACTATTTCATATTTAACTATCATATATTTCCCATATATCCCTATGTATTCATATTGCAATACATATAATACTGCCTATACCAATGCCATTCTACATCCAACTTAAGTTTTTGATATCAAACTAGTCTGATGGTAAATCTGCATATAAGAAAACTCACATCCATTTACAGACTTCCAGTGAATCTCTCACTGCAATAATACGCTCAATTACCTCTTTAATCTATTTATAGAGCCCCCTTGGTATAACTAGTGCCTGCTAGAAACTTGGCTGCACTTTTAATAACAGTACTTGCAGCAAGTCTATAAAACTTACCTAGTTGTTGCTCTCGCAGTTGTTGTTGTTGTTGCTGTTGCTGTTGCCTGTCCGACTTGGCCAATTAGACTGTTTTGCCCCGTGTGTTTTTTTGTTTGTTTATTTTACCAATTGGAATGTTCACCTGCTGACGCGTTGTTGATTCGTCCTTTCTTTCTTTCGAACTTGTTGTAAACGTAATCCCAAGACTTGGCTTAGTGTTTGCAAGGATAACGGTAATTAAACCGCAGCCAGGCCCGTACAAGGGGTCGCCATTGCATGCTTAGCACAAAATCGTCTTCTTCTTTCTGCTGTTGTTGTTGCCGTTGTTGGTTGTTTCTAGTTACTGTTGTTGTTGTTGTTGTTGTTGGTTGTCGTTAGGTTATTGGCCGCGCCGCTTAGGTTGACACTTTTCAAACTTTTTCTTTTGGTTAGTTAAACAACTTTTTTGCCAGCACTTGGCAAAGACACTCGCACACACACACACACACACACACAGGCATGCACATACACCTGCATACACATATATAGATGCACTTCCAGTATGCGCTAATTTTTTGCTGCTTTGCTTGCTTTACACTTTTTGCTTGGTCCGCGTTGTAAATCTTTGCGCGTTGTTGTTGTTGTTGCTGCTGTTGTTGTTGTTTTAAAGAAATTCTTTTGCTCAATGGCAAAATGTTTGGACGACGTCTTCGTCGGCTGTTTTTTTTTTCTTTTTTGTGTTTTTTTTTTTTTTTTTTTTGCCGGATCTGACTCTGCGAGTCGCTCCTCACCTGGCGCTCTGGCTCGGTGGCTGCGGCTCTTCCGCAGAAACAAGCTTCCAAGCAGGTTGCAATGTTGCAAGCAGGATAGAAGGGGCGCGCCTGCTGTGGGGTTTGGGGAGCAACCAACGAGAGAGAGAGAGAGAGATATATAGAGAAGGGGGGCGGGGCAGCTGCGTCGGCGACGGTGGTTACAGCTACAATCTGCAATCTGTTTGTGGCATTAAATCAGTGAACCAAGACGCGCAGCCAGATTTGTTTATGCGGCCTTTCAACGTTTGCCAACCAGCCAGCCAGTCAGCCAGCCTTGCAGCCTTGCAGCTTTGCAACTTGGCTCGTTGCAAGCGATGCAAATTTGTACAACAAATCAGCACTTACAGCTCAATTAACGCGAATTTCGGCACACAGACACACGCACTGCCACTGAGATCGCTATGGATCACCAATAATTTGAGAGGATTTACAGGGTATTTATTTAAGCACACTCACACACAGAAACACTGAAACCGAAGCACTTGAATGGCTTGAAATATAAAGCTAATCGCAGTTGTTGTTGTTATTTACTTTTCGATTTATTTATTTATGTTGCTGTTGTGGCTGTTGTTGTTGTTATTGCTGTTGAGCGTACGCGCGCCGCTGTTGTGGGTCGCTACGTTCCGAACCGGTTATAAGAATTGCCTTAATTCGTGTTATATTGTCCGGCTTTCAGTACCGCACGCCTCGACGATTCAGAGTGAACAGAACAAGTTGCGAGTTCGAGCCGCGACTGCGGCGTCGACGCATCACTTGGCCGGCCACTCAATGGAGATACGTTGGCCATATCTAGCTGTAGGCCTCTGTGGCCGACCGCCAACATCCAACTCGAACATGTTGCAAGCACCGGCGGAACGTTTCGGCAATGAAACACTCAAGCAGCCGTTCGTTCGTTCGTTCGCCTGCTTTGAGCATTTCTTTGAGCATTTCTTTGAGCATTTCGTTGATGTGTGTGTGTGTCTGTGTGAGTGAGTCCAATCGGATGGGCAACTGGCGGCATCTCGGTCAGGTGTTAGAGCCGTGACCGCTGAGGCTGCCGCTGCTGCTGCTGCCACTGCAGTTGCTGCCGCGTCTAATTGTGAATGATTTATGTGGGTCGCAATTCTTTTGGCCTCCAGAAGAAAGTGAGCTGCAACGAACTTTCGGCCAAATTGAAATGAATCTGAAGAGAGATGCAGACGAAGGAATGCCGCTAACGCATCCTTGTAGGTCATTGGCTTGGTCAAGAACAAAGGCTGGGCAGCATGACTCAGCTGACTATGACTCTATGGGCAAGTGGGCAAGTCTGGCGAGTCGCGTAGGCGTCCACCGGGAGCTGCCAGCTGGAGTGCACCTGCTCGCTGCTATGCAAAGTTTGCCGACTCTCTCAGCTGGCCCGCCATAGAATATTCAATGCGAAGAGCTCGTTTCGTTTCATCTGGTCTAATGTGCAAAGTTGATAGTTGGCGGTGCTCAAACCGCAGGCGAGCATTGTGGCCAAAGGTGGGGCATTAAGGTGCATTAAGTTGCAGGCTTATAAATGCATAAACGACTCCATTAAAAAGTCCTCAACAGCAACGGCTAAATTAAATGCACAAAGTTGAACTAATTCCCATTTACGAGCGATGTAGTTAAGGCTGACTGCGTTTTCATTATATATCAGATATAGAAACGCGTCTCTCCCTCTCTCTCTCTCTCTCACTCTGCTCTGCAATGCTCAGGCACTAACTCAAATACTTTCGATGGCGTTGCATGGCAACTGCGACGGAGTTGGACAAACCGGCTGACACTCAGCGCTAGACAAGTTCAATGCCATGGATGGGCATCAAAGCAATTGCTGTTCCTACTGCTCTGCCTGCTCCTGCTCCTGAGCTCAGCTACATCTGACAGCCACAAGACGTCGACGTCGACGTAGACATTCTCGAATGCCCGCCAGAGCCTTCGAATGATTTATGAGAAATGGCAAAGCGCGCCCCACTCCCTGCCCCAGCAGAGCTCCGAGAAGGTGGAGCAGCACCCAAAGACAAACAATTGACATTTGATGGATGCGTAACTCGTGCATTCAAATGCACGGGACGAACATCGATTGGACAGGCAACTGGACGCCACTGCTGGCAGCTTGTCGCAGGCGTCGGCTAATTGTTATTGATAATCGCCTCATCGCTTTTATGTCTCTGTTCGATTCTCGTGTAATTGCCACGTTTAATTAGTCAATGGACCACTCCACTCCTCAACTGTTTGACTTGAATTATGTTTTGGCATACTCATTGTCTGTCTGTCTGTCCGGTTGTGTGGCTGTCTGGCTGTCTGGCGGCTGCCTTGTGGCTGGCCAAATCACGGCTCCATCCTGCGCCTAACAGCAAAACAAACTTCTCTATTATTGATTTATACCTTTCAACGATTCTCTGTATTTATCATGAGTGCAAGCCACATTTATCATTAATAATGCCTCCACAGCAGCAGCAGCGGCAACCGCAGCAGCCGCAGTAGTAGCCCAAACGAGCAGCAGCGGCTGCCCCAAGCATCCGCATCTAGGCAGCTGCTTGATTCTAAGCGGGCACACTGGGGCAAGGCATTGTAATATGAGCTGCAAATCAGATTGAATGATAAATTGAAGAGATAATTGCTATGGAAGCACAAAGAACTTTTTTATAATTAAAATAAAAATTAAAAAAAAAAATTAAGATTAAAAAAATTAAAATTAAAACATAATATATACGTAAAATAAATAAAGAAAATATAATATATGAAATATATAATATGAAATCCATATAATCCATATGAAATATTAATTATATTTACCTATACTTGCCTATTATTAAAATTATTTTTTCAATATTTTTTATTTTTTTATATATTTTTTTACTTATAAAAAAAATTTTTACTATAAAATATATATAGAAAAATATTGTTGCATATATATTTATTATATTTTATTCTGGCTTTTTTCTTAGTTTATACTAATTAAAGATGTCTTAGCCAATATATTGATATGGCTATGGCCAATGGCTATAAATAAAATAAAAAATAAGAACAAATAATAATTAGAGGTAACGTAATAATAACTTTTACCTGTTTTCCAAAAGCTTCTGCAGAAGCATATTAAAAAAATAAAATAAATCATTTTACACTGATTTCAACAATATATACCTCCTTTTTCGATGGTTCACTCTATACAAATCCAATTGACCTTCAACAAATACCTCATAGCACCTGATTTTCATGCATACATAAATCGATTTATTGCCACTGTGCGTCAGCGTCTTACCAGCATTGAAGCACCCCCGTTGAGCTGCTGCTGCTGCCGCTGCCGCTGCTGAAGAGTTGTGGGTCTGGAGCTCTTGCCTGGCTGACTCTCTGTCTGCCCGTCTGTTAGTCTGTTTGTCTGGCTGGCTAGAGAGTTAGAGCTGCGATCATTTTCCGTACATCATTTCTATGGTGTATTTATTGCCTGGTCGCAATGATCATCGCGCTCTGTGCCTCCATTTCCGCTGTACAGTGTTCGCCAAAAGTTCAGGCCCAGCAACTGGCAGCAGCGACGGCGGCGAAAACCATTTTGGGAAGGTGATCTGTGGGATTGTGCTAATGTCAAATCAAGCTGTGCCCCCTTGTTATTTAGCCAGCCAGAGCAGACCAAACAGACAGAGCAGCCAAAAGGAAGAGGCTGCCTCTGCTGCTGCCTCTGCTACCCCTGCTGCTGCCTCTGCTGCTGCCTCTGCTGCTGCTGCTGCTGTCCGCCAGAGACTAAACTCCATGTTGATTTTATTGTAAATTGCATTAAAAGATTGCATATAAAGAATTTTATTTATCACCTCGGTTGTTAGGGAAAACGCTGTTGGAGACAAAAGTGCCTTTGCTTATCCTTGTTGTTGTTGTTGTTGCTGCTGATGTTGCCGGGGCGGCATTGTTGCATTTGCTGCTGTTTTGTTATTGTTTGTCTTGGCTTAAGATCTCAAGGTCTTCTGTGGCAATTGGTTTTCGCTTGCCTTTGCCTTTAGCCCCCATCGAAGGTGTCGCTAGATATAGCCAAGTCTTTTTCATATACCTACATACATACATATATTGTTTAGCATGGATAGCACTTTTTGCCTGGTGTTCGGCTGCCTCATGCCAGCTAGCTGGCTGATCTTTGCCAAATTTGTAAATGTTCTTTAATGGAATTTCGAACACTTGCTCGCTCGCTCGTTCGCTGCCTGCCAAGCGCAAGGGTTTCTCTTTTTTTTTTTTTTTTTTGGTTCGTTCTATGTTTGTGATTTAAGTAGAACGCCTTGAGTTGGCCTGAGCGGCTGAACTATGAACATCGATACAAGGGGGCTTGTCAGTGTGACAATCTTAAGGAATTGCTGGCAACCGCTCAGCCATGAACAACAACAAGAACAACAACAATCACAACAACGAAAACGAGTATAAATAAAAAACAACCCAGCGAACATTTTAGTTTTACTAGTCAAGCATGTAACAGGGGAGTCAAGTGAAGGGTATATGCATGCATCTCTCTCTCTCCCTCTATCTCTGAGTGTGTGTGTGTGTAATCGGAGCAATCGCATCAGCTAAACAGGCCTCGGATCGATTTCACAGAAGCTTGTTAAGCGTAGATGCCTCTGCCAGCTGATTTGCAGATAGTATTCAAGCCAAGCCAAAGCCATGGCAAACATTTGGCCAGGATGCAAAACCTAAACAAGTGAGGCCCAAAAGCCCAAAAATCTAATTGCTTACGGATTTTTAACTATGGGAACTTTGCCAAGACACAAAAATTCACAGAGCTGCTAAGTGGCTGCTGCTGCTTCTGCTTCTGCTGCTGCTCTGCCACGACGGCTTCATTGAGCGAGCACAAAAAGCAAAGCTGCAAAGTCCACTTCACATTCCCATGCTGAAAATGCAAGGCATTTGTTTGATAAATGCGCCATTCAGCGATGCTTCGTCATATTCAAAGCTTCACACACACACACACACACACGCACACACTCCAAATCTGGAACAGCTCAGCGAATGTGTTTTGACAACTTGCGAGGCTCGTAGGAAGTTGTGCCTTAAGTAGTTGCTCGAGCCAAAATGTAAGGCTCCAAATGCCTTTTGAGAAAGCGAATTTGCAGACAAATAAATCAAGCCACCTATTTTCAAAGAGTGTCCATTGTGTCCTGACCAGGGCCATTGGGGTGCCGACGACTGTTGATACCTAAAAATGGCAAAAGCCGGTTCAGATTGAGAGGATCGTTTGCTGTTGCTGTTGTTGCTGTTGTTGTTGCTGTTGTACAATGCAATTGTTAATAAGCAAAGTTATGCGAAGCAAGCCGAAGACGTTGCTGCAAACAGGCAACATCAAAGGGCAGTGCCACAGAGCCTTTTGAAATCTAGTGAAGATGCCCCAAGAAAGCGCGAGGCTCGACGATGGCAGAGGATGGAGAAAGAGCGCGACGTCGAGGTCACCGGCTGCTGATGCCCAGGGGCTAAGCAGGGCCTTAAATCTTAGCAGCCGAACATGACAAAGGATGTGCAGGCAAAGGCAAAGGCAAAGGCACAGGCACAAGCAGGAGGCAGGCAGGCGGGAGGCAGGAGGCAGCAGGCAGCAGGCGCGGGCATCGGCAAACAGAGGCGACTCGATGCGAACGTGTAGAGGAAGGTGTTTAACAAACAGCAAAACAAACAATTGTAAAACAGCAAACGACAACAGCAAGAACGACAACCAAAGGCGTGGCCGGATTGCACGCCCACGCCCCCCAGGAGCCTGCAGCCAAAGCAC